CTATGAGACGACGTCAATCATGGAAAGATAAAAGAAGAATATCAAAGAGAAAGAGAAAAACCAATAAAAAAATCTATAAAGAGTAAGCATCCTAAAGTTTCATCTGTTGAAGCTTACAACAATATTATCTATATATATAAATATATATTTCACCGCTGATTGTGCTCTCAGACATTAGTAAAATAAGGGTAGATGCATATGCATCATTTACTCTTGCAGACAAAGCTAGTTGGGAGTAATGTGCATGTGAATGAAGAGAAAATCTTCATCCACATACATCCACATTCTGATGTAATACAATGGTATACAAAAGAAATGTACCGTAAACGAGTTTCGACTATCGACCAAAATATATTTTAAAAAGTTTCTTTTTTCACATAATTGCGTTAGATCAGACTTTCTTAAATGTTTAAATGAATCGAGTTCTATAAGTTTTGATTGTTAAATGTATTTAAACCAATTATCATCATTATAAACACATTTCAACATGTTTTTCCTTCAACAAGCTGTATAGACTAATTATAAAGCGTTTTTTCTTGTGCTTTCGAAAAAAAACACATGATCCCATTGTCGTAGCGTTTTTGTTTCTGTCTAAGTAGGAAAAAATAGAAACATGAGTCATTCATGTTTTTTTTTCTCACAGTTGACTGCTTTCTTTGTGACAAATATGTTTCATTTTTGGTAACTACACATGCTATCATTTGATAATTTTATGATCATGACGAATAAAGCTTCTTTTTTCGACTTTCTACCAGTAGAACTTCTACACATGATTTTCAGTTATTTCTTAGCTCATGAAATTTTCTTTTCATTTTCAAATATTAGCGATCATGTTGATAGTGTTTTACTTGCGTATGCCTCATATAAAATTAATTTCAAATCAATCACCAAGTCTAACTTTGATCTTGTTTGTCAACGAATTCGTCCTTCAAAAGTTATTGCATTGATTCTATCCGATGCTGATGATACACCTGGTCAATCTGCATTATTTTTGTCATATTTTCGGATCGAACAATTTAGTCTACTTCAATCATTAGTGTTGATTGATATTGAATTAGATTCTTTGAATTCGATCTTTTCCAATTTACGTCATCTTCAACGACTAAATTCATTCACGTATGATTCGAAGACTATTAAAACTTATCGTTCAAATCAGATTGATAACTATTCATATTGGATCCATCAAACACATAGTTACATATCGAATGATTTGATTGAAAAAATATCTAAATTAAAACGATTAAATCTTTCCGACTTCAAAGTTTTACCAAGAGAGACACTTCCATATATGCACCATTTGAGAATTGGAAAAGTAACAATCGGTGAATTTCGAATAATTCTTTCTCATACACCAAATTTACAATCTCTGAATATTTCTCTCCAAGATGGTGGAACACCTAGCGATTACGAATTATTGTCATCTCATTTGAAATTGAAACGACTCATCCTAAAAATTGACGGTAAGTATAATCGCTTTAATGAAAATAAGAGTTGAAATATTTTATTAACAGTCGATCTTGCATTTTCTTTGATAACTCACAGATTCACCAGTTTCGATCGATCAGCTTGAAAAATTATTGCTAAAATTAATTCATCTAACACATCTTCAATTGTATGCCACTGGTCTCGATGATTTAGCCGATGGAAATCGTTGGCAAATTTTGGCAAGTAATCTCACTATGTTGAACTTCAAGTTAAAAATTCTCAATACATTGACTGCAGAAATTCTCGAATCTTTCTGTACTTCATTTTGGCTTGTCGAGAAACATTGGTATGTGGCTTATGATCAATATTGTCTATTTACAGTACCTCACTTTGTTCCTGTTGACATCAATACTAGTGAGTTTCTACAACACAGTCCTTGGACTACATTGGATAAAGGAATGTTCTTCAAACAAGTGACCAAAATCAATATCACGATGTCCTTATTCGATAGCTTTTTCTCTCTGTTTTTTGGTTTCGTACCTCAATTGCAGCCTTTTGATCCTGAAACTCAACTAAGAATTATCGCAACGAAGATCGAATTGTCTCAAATACAACAGATGACTCTGTTGTCATTAAAAGATTTGCAATTATTAAAAGCATATATTCATCAAATGCCTCATCTTCATAAATTATCGATTCAACAGCAGATAGAAATAGATTTGGCGGAACAGTTCCGAGACCAACGAATTACACAAATTCGAACACTTGAAATTTATCTCTCTACTAAAAATACGACTTACATAATTGAAATATTGTTACGCCTGTATCCAAATATAGAGCATTTAAGTGTTTCATGTATTAGTTCGAAAATGGATATGATTCGCTTGATTGATGGATTCAATCATTTGTCCAATGCGTCATTTATAATTGATTCGAAATTCGGTAGTATCGAACAGTCTTGGTATTTCAAACCAGAATTATTGATGAGTGACTCCCGAAGGTTGGCCAGAAGTACTTACACATGTCGATTGAATCATTTGACTGATGAAAAATCACCTATCGCCATAGGGGTCTGGATCGGAGCGCAAGTAAGTTCCTCTTCCACATAATAATAATTTCAGACATCATCTATTATTGTACTATGATTTAGCCACAACAATCATGTTGGGCTATTGAATGGCCATCTCGACAAGGATATTATTGGCATCGATTGATATACATTTTTTTCCAGCATTCTTATGCCAAACCTAAATATTATTTGTACATAGCAAATGTTATTCACATCATTACTAAGATTGCTGTCATTCTGTGCTTACAAAACATATCCTTCATTTTTCATTCACTATTGCTTCTTGATATTGTTCTCTACATTATATCTTTGATTTTTAGTGGTATTATTATTTACTATCTTCAATCACGAATGGAAAAATTGGAAATCTTCCTGTATCACGGAAGCATAGGATTAGCATTAGATATCTTATACAATAAATACGACTTTCTTGCGGTGATCAATTTCGGTTCATATGTTATGTATATGATTCTTACTTTTTTACAGTGGATCCTTTTTTTTCTAAATCGTAATGAAAGACATTGAACGATAATTATTCTGTGAACATCGATGAAAATTCTTCTTCAGCAACCATGTCATAGAGTAATGAGGATGACTTTATATAAATGTGTTTCGATTATAATGAATCCACGAAAAAATACTTGTAAAACCTACGTTTGAATGTTTTTTTAAGACCAACTTGTATGCTTTCGCTAAAGTTTGCATCGATTTATGCAAATGCGTTCGAACGCGTCTTTTTTCACTAAAAATGCAAGCAAATATTTCAAGAACGCCAACCATACGATACGTTTTATTGTTGGATATGGATGTGTGAGTCTTGTATTCGTGCGTACATACCGACATTCACACCCAAAAGATTGAGAACAGCATAAAATAGTCGCCATGAACATAGTCCTCTATTTTCAGATGCGCTAGTGAGCATTGAATCTAACATCAGTTGGAATCTAATGCGAAACTGAAAACAATTAGATAGAAATTTTGAAGACTGGATTGAGTGATTGTTGATAAACTTGATGAAATTAGATTGTTACATTTTCTTCATGTTATTCGTGGATAGATAAAAAATGAAATAAACAAGCAACTATAGATCTGCTGTAAAAATTTATCCAATTCAACATCGTTGATTCTACGAAGACAGAACGAAAGAAGTCTAATGAATTGATGTAAAGTAAAATACGAAAGAAATAACTCAATTGAATGACACTTACGAAACTGTTGTACAAAAAGAGCGACATGATGGTTTCGAATCGAATAATTGAAGAAATCGAATCGAAATGGAATTCTTTGACATGTACTGATTATTCTATGGAATTGTCTAGAAATGTTGGGTTATAGAAAACGACAATAGCTTGTGCATAAAGATGAAAAAAGATACCATAGAAAAGTTCAACAGTCACATTGGTAATGAGCACGTTCTGATATGAACACCTATGCATGAAAAGAATGAATTCTGAAATGTTTTGTCATTCTTTCTATTGATTGTATAAGCTCCTACAATAACCTATATCTATTCAATGAATTCCCTAAAAGACTAATTTTTCTTTTTAAAAGTATATTAAGAATAATCTTTCCATAAAAGCTTCGAACTCAGAGACCTTTCAAAATTTTTCTCATGATAAATATTTGTGCATTTATGTTATTACTTCCTCTTCGTCATTGTGATTCACGATATTGCAGTCACATTTCAATAGTTATATAATTGACGCTTGGAAATTTTTTGGCTCATTATGTGTGCGTATGAAAATGGGAGTAGAACACTTACAGGTGTCAGTCTCGAGTATAGAAAGAAAAATTAGGAAGAATAATTGGATTTTGTTTAGGCAAAAGTATAAATAAATGAGCATGTAACATAAGACGAATATATCATTGGAACCAGTGGTAAGCACAAAGTGAAAACAGCTAAAGTCAGATTTCTTTTTGATTAAAATAATTAAATCGAAACTTTTAAATTTTCTACAGACTTTAAATCAAAAACTTCAGAGATATCAAAATAATTGGAAACATCAAAAGCATGACTTTTTCTGATAGTTATCACGCTAGATCTCATTCTTTCAGTATACGAATCGTCCTCTTTTAACACCCAAATCTTACATACCGACTTAAATTATAAGAAAACACTTAAGGTTAACGCACAAATCATTCAAAACTAACTCTTTTTGCATAAGTGACTTTTTTTTACAAACTTGATTAAAGAGATCTTATTTTGTTGTAAAATTGATAAAACATTTTTAATAAAATCAATTATTTCTCCTCTAAGTAAATAGCAGGTAAAGTTTTTAATATTTTTGATTCTTCCCCTTACAGCCTCTCTCTAAAACGTTGCTGAACTCATGAAAATCGGCCAGTGCTCTTGTCATTTAGAAGGTTTCGCGAAAACAAATGCCATTTTGTTTCTCCATGACCATAATATCATGAGAAATAATGAACATTGAACTGTTTTAGTCTTAATCATAACTTATTTGGAAATAAAACAGTAACAGTTATTCAACAACAGCATTGACAAGACATGGGCAGTTCACATTCATTTTCAATACCACATTTTAATGCGAATATCCGTACAAGTGATGGAAAGACATTTGGATTATCTTCTCGTGATTTTGTTGATCATATTGTATTGCTTCGTCGAGTGATTGCGCATCCAGAAATGACGCAGCAAGGTGAAACGTTGAATTATTATATCGATGATTATTGTAGACGCATGGCTCGCCAAGAAATTGCAACCAGGAATAAACAACGGAGACTTCCATGGCAAATCGACTGGATCTGACATGTTCATCGTCTTCATCCAATTGCCTATAACAATGATTGTACTAAGCAATTACCAAATAGTAAACTTGTCGATAAAAGTTACCGACGATTAAGAATAAAACAACGTCGAAAATACCGTTCAGTGAAGTTATTCGAATCAATAAGAAATCCTTCAACGTTTATTCCTTCGATCGATCTGGCAAAAGCCGTAGTTCGTCAACATGATTTTCTTGAAAAATTTAAGCAACATAGACTTTTTTCAATGGATCTGCGACTATTGAATCGAAACTTATTTGAACAAATGGTACAAAATTATATTTCATTTTTAAAACTAGCAAAAATAGATGAAATCATTGTACCAACATTCGATATTGATTTGATATGGCATACACATATGAGGTTTCCATTATCTTATCAAAACACGTCGAAAGCATTATGTGGTTTTCTTCTTGATCATGACGACTCGCTCGAAAATGATATTCTAGTCGATGCTTATCAGAAAACAGCTGAACAGTGGAAGATGACTTACAAGGTAGATTATGGCAAAGATATTGACAAAGATAACTTGCGCACATCGCAATATGTTAGCTCCTGCGCAATAATAATGGCACCGGTTGTTATATTCTCATCAAGTGAAGGTGGTGGTGGATGTGGAGGTGGAGGTGGTGGTGGTGGTGGGTGTGGAGGTGGAGGTGGGGGTGGTGGTGGTGGAGGTGGAGGTGGAGGTGGTGGATGTGGAGGTGGAGGTGGAGGTGGTGGATGTGGAGGTGGAGGTGGAGGTGGTGGTGGTGGATGTGGAGGTGGAGGTGGAGGTGGAGGTGGAGGTGGAGGTGGTGGATGTGGAGGTGGAGGTGGAGGATGTTGAGTTAGTTGCGAGAACTATTAAACTGTCTCGACACTTCAGCGTATAAGACGTTGACTGTTTTTTTTTCATTTTTTTCCGAATTCGTTATTTCCAATAAAATCAAGACCAATTCCGATGTACCTGATAATATACTATATTCTTACTCTGCTCAAATCGATTCGACAGACTTGCACATTTTCTTTAATTCGAAGTGCAATGTGTTCATTACGTTCAGGCTAACAAGATCTCGATAGTTGCTGTTTCTATGAGTTAACCCTTGCATACTCTATCCATCGAGTGATATTCTCCTGAATTGTTTGTGAAAATAACTCTGTCATAGGTATATTTAAATTGAGTTCAAGCCAGCTGAGTTGTGTCAGTCAACAACCTTTGAGGACTATTGGGCTGAGTATTTCATTTTTAAAGGTCATATATCTGATGCTTTCGAAGGTTTACTATATTTCTTTTGTCGATATGATGAAATCATTAATGAAGCATCCAAACAATGATCTATCGTGACAAGTTGTTCATGTATTTGCCTACAAGGTGTTGCAAAACTTGGTTATCACCTGTATCTGATGGAATATCAAGAATTCTCCTGTGTTCTGTATCGATATAAACTCACTTTATACCTTTTTGCATCATTCGTATTTGTCAACTATGTAGTCCTTAAAGATAGATAGCCCTAATTAACTTCTTCTTCAACTTTTATGTAAATCACTTTACTATAACTATAGGTGTGACAATTCGTCATATTCGAAGCATGATCTTCAGAACTGTAAAGCTTTCAGGAAATTGTCTGTGCTTAGGCGAAGACATTGAATTACTACAAAGATGGACATGGAATCTGAATGGAGGCGCTCTAGCTTACCAATCTGTGGTATAAAAGATAAAACGAGAATTAGACTTTTTGTAGTAAGACATAAAAACAAAAGTCTTACCTGATTGAAATCAGTCGATTTTGAACTATAATATTGTTCGTTTAGTTATTTTTTAAGATTTTTTTATTGTTGATAAAGTAAAACATCAACTCATTTTAGAAGTCAACTGCCCTTATCGAATGCAGTTCTTATTGTTAGAGCTCGATTGGAAAAAGAAAAATATATTGAGAATCAGTGGAAAAACCTGTACCAATCATCTAAAATGTAGTAAATTCTCTGTCAAATATAAAAATTGACCATATGCAACATTTGAGAAAAAAATGCTAAGGAAGAATATCCGTACATTTTCTGTGGAAAAATGATTTAGCTAAAATATACATGTGATCGTATAGATTTTGATGTTAATTCTGAATAAGTTGTTTAATTTATTTTTCGATTGAATATTATTAATAAAAACTAAAATACATAAAACTATTTCACTATTAAAATGAATGTACGTCCGGTGTTCTCAACAATAAAATGTCACATCAAACAACTAGATAGGTTCCCAAGTATCTTTACATACATGCTATAACTCTACGCATACTGATAGTGATCTTTCATGCTATTTGTTTTAAATCTTAGAAAATACTATTTTCTTATTCTGATTTTGATGGTGAATTACAGAGAAAAATTCTTTTCAAAGAGTTCAACCAACGATGATCATAGATAATGAAAACAAAAAGAATGATTTTAATTCTATATGTAGTCTCATCAGTATTTGAGATGTCTTGTCATGAAGAATATTCTAATTGAAATAAAACAAATATATTCATAGCAGCTCCATTAAATCATATATAAATCGATGAAAATTAAAATCTACTGTAATTTTGCTTTATACGCACCGCATATAGTTCATATTTTAATAACGTTTGGAAGTCTTTAATATAAACAAAAGAATCTGAAATAAACATGCATAAAAAAACAAGAAAGCTAAGATGAAAATAATAAGTTTTAAGGAAAAACCAAAATTCTAAAACGTAATCTATCTCTCCTCATGTACAAGAAAACTTCATTACATGACTTACGACCTTAAATCTTTCTTGACGAACGAGAGTTTATGCAGTTGTTTTAAAAAATAAAAGATTTCGAAAAATACGACTTTTTCCAACAATCGAAGTTAATAACACCCAAAATTTACTGAAACTTTAACAAACACACATGATATAAAAGAGAAAATGGGACATTCTAATAAAAAATTCAGCAAGTGTTGTAGATTGAACCTCACTCCAATATTCACTCACACTCTTCAACTTTTTTGAGGTATATAAACGAACACAGATTTAATATACTACATGTACATAACAGGATTGTATGCATACATCATCACACAAAAAAAACTTTGAAGGAAAATATCTTAAATTTATATTTTTTATGCGATCAATTTATTTGTAATGTTAATATTTAAAAACACACTGTTGTCTAGTTGAATAATAATTCGTGCCTAACGACTGTATAAAACTGCACATGAGTTTTTTTAAAAATTATTCTATAAAATTAAAGCACATAAAAAGTTATTTTCCATTTGTCTGAATGAATCATCATAATTCGACCTTGATTTTGTTGTACTGTTATGTGTTTTGTGCTTCTCTTATAAAAGCAAATACGTAAAAATGATTTCCACTGTGTTCTTTCTACGCTGTTGGTAGTCGAACATGTACGCTTTCACTTAATATATCTAATTCATATACCAATACACACAGCAGTTTTTTTTCTCAGTGTAAGCATCATTGTTTTAGCATTTTTCAATCATAGATACGTTCAAATATTCTCAACATTAGATAGAAACTTTCCTTTCAAGAACTATTTAACTAATCTGACAGTTTTTGAAATATTCGAAATATCTTATCTTGATAATTCAGAAGAGAATATATAATTTAATGTCACTTTCCAGTTATATGAATAAGTTATATGGATTTTTATGATACAGTATGATAATTTCTTGAATAGAATAATATTTTGAAATTGTTCAATACATTTTTACAAAATTACTTCAATGGAATCTTGTTCTGTAATGAATAGTTATATGCTACTTGATTATTTTCCTACTATCTGGTACTATTCGTCGTTAACAAACATTAGGACAGTCTTTGAGAGATTTGGATGTAAAATATAATGAAACTGTTTTTAAACATCAAAGTTCTTTTTTTTTGTTGAGAGAAATTGTTTATTAATTAGTATCGCTAGTTGAAAAACTCTACTCTGGTACAGATGGTCTGTCTATAAATACAAGCAGTAAAACAGGATTCAGGATCATAGGATTCGAACAAAGCAGACGAAATTTCGATGAATCGATCGCTTGAATTCGTTGGAACGCACTAAGATCTCTATCTAGAACTCGCTTTTTTTTCTGTTCAGTTTAGTTAATACCTGAGTGTTTAAGGTTCGAGTATGGATTGATGTGAAGAAGAGATTCATACTTCACACCCTTAAGATGATCTGTTTTCTTACTGCTTTTTATAAAACAATCGAAACAGTATACTTTTCAGCTAAGGAAAAGTTTAAAAGGTGTATTATGACTGTGAAGGCACATGTGGAAGTCGATTAGGCGCTAGTTGAGTTCCTTCTGGTATCAACTAAAAATTAATAATAATGATGTCTCTGAAATGTTAACATACAAAGAGCATTTTTAGGAAAGTTCAAATTCTTCGTCCCAATGGATTATTTTATTGCATGCTTTTTTAACTTCAAGTATAAAGAGAAATCTATCTTTTATGAAATATTGCAAATATGTAATTGATTTAGCCATAGGTGATGTTTATTGAATACTTTTTCTCTACATGGGTTATTAACAGAAAGGATTCTGCCATTCTCAAAACAGTGTTTTTGGGGAAAATTCTGTAGCATAAATTTTCAAATCTAATTAACAGAAAAAAAAACGATGTCACCAAAATAAATCACTTTCAGTGGTTAATCGTAGATTTTCTACAGATTTCAACCGTCAGTATTATAAAATAAGAATTGTTTTTTCTTTCAGATCATCTAATCATGTGAATGACTAGCAGATATTCTTTTATTGAGACAATGGAAATAAGCAAAGCTTTTGGAGTTAACAAGACATCATTATTAGTGCTTCTCTTTTATGATATACGTAATTTTTCTTTCTAGTCTACTTTTCTTTTCGTTCTGAACAGTATGAAAACGAAATTACTCGTTTCTTTTCACAATAATCATGACGAAAAGCAGAAAAGAAAGAAAAAATGCCTGTAACGTAGATGAGAAGCACTGATGACGATTTTTTGTTGACTCTAAAAGCTTTGCTACTTTGTAATGTCTCATTAAAAGAATGTCTGCTCTTATTGATTTGTTTCATACACTTATATTCTTTATCTACTGTATAGAAATAAGTGGTTATAGTGTCGTGTTATAAGTTGTTATCAGTGGAATAGCACGGAAAAAGAGTAATCTTCAAACCAAGCATCTTCTGCGTTGCAATCAGCTGTATTACCACTATACTAGAAAGGATATTTTCAGTCCATTTTGAAATATAGCGGTTATAGCATATAGAAATAACGACTTAGACATGAAGTTACGGCAAAAATCATTCGTACGATTTGTTTTTTGATTAAAGATAGTCAAAAGATAGAGTTTTTAAAGACTTGATCAATATAATAAGAATCAACGTGTCTTCTAGTATTTACATTATAACAATCATTGCTCTTGACTGTCTCTATGTTGAATAATAGATCAATCTTTGAAAATCATGCATGTTTTAATGACAAAAATAATTTACATGATTTCAAGAACAATGACATTTTTTGTTATTCATGATTTAAAAGAATTTATTTATAAAGTCATTACAGACAGGAAAGAACAAATGAGACACGAGCTTACTGTTTATTCCATGATCCAATTCCATGGAGTAAATACACTTAGTTATTCAAAAAGAGAGAATCTTTACTTTGAAAGGTTCGTATAAGAAAATTGTAAATTGCAATTTGTTCAAAATATTTTTGAAATGCATCTCATAACGAGAATGATATATTTTTTCTGGTTTTTTTTGCTTCATAGCTCTAATGTTCTCGAAGACAGGATGATAGAAGAAAGGTACATATTAAGGTAAGAATAACCTAGCGGGCAAGCAAAACAGTTTAACATCATACAGAAAATGTCAATCATTAGCGTTATTGGATTTTAGAGAGAACTAGATGACAAATCGTATGTTTAAATGACATCAATGAGAGTTAAGCAAGATAAATGAACATTCACAGTTCTACAATAGTAAATTTAAAATGTAACACTGGTTCTTTTCTATCTGTAACGATTTTATTAATAACTTCTTTTAAATCATGAATAACAAAAAATGTCATCGTGCTTGAAATTGCATGAATAATTTTTGTCACTAAAACATGCATGATTTTTATAATGTAAATACTAAAAGACGTGGTGATTCTTTTTATATTCATCAAGTCTTTAGAAAGTCTGTATGTTGACTATCTTTAATTAAGAAAGAAATCGTACAAATATTTTTTTGTTGCAACTATAGTTATAAGTTTTTAAGTATTACAGGAACAAGAGTTGAGGTATAGAAATCCAGATTTAGGGGTAAATAGATAATGGTGCAAGTGACAATGTGGGCACACATGTATGAGCCTATTTCACATAGAATATAAAAAGCACATGCACATTCCACATTCAGTATAGAAAATTATTTCATTATTCAATAGAGAGTATACATTTTTCTTTTTAAGAACTATTATGAGCAAAGAACCAAAACAACAATCGACAAATACATCAAAAAAGACAGATGTACCATTAAAGAATAATGGTGACGATTCGAAGCAACAACTACAGCCATCGGTAAGTCTACATTTGATTACTCTTCAAACATACCAGATCTTGAATATTCACTAGTATCGGCCTCTTTATCAACGGTAGCTAAAGATTTGAATCTACAAGAAAATCTAGAAAGTACTAGATTAATTTGGTATGATTCAAATATTGATAAAACTAATGATACGAAAAAAACAATGAACGAATTACGTGAAATCAATAATTTTATTGTATTTCATATTGATTTAAAAACTTGTATTGATTATATTGAATCGATTACAAATGAAAAAATATTTCTTGTTACATCTGGAAGAGATGCTTTAAATATTTTAATAAGAGTTCATGCATTAAAGCAAATTGATTCAATATTTATTTTTTGTTTAAAACCTAAAAAATATCAATATCTATTACAAACATATATTAAACTAATTGGAATTTATACAAAACGTCATGAATTACTTAATTCTCTTAAAGAGAATATTATTCTTGTTGAAAAACATTTAGAAACATTTAATTTCTATAATCAACATAAACAAAAATCTACAAGAGATTTATCAAAAGAATCAGCAGAATTTCTATGATTTCAAATATTTAAAGATGTTATTTTGAGATTACCAAGAGATAATCATGCAAAACAACAAGTGATTGAATTTTGTCAACATTATTATCGTGGAAATGAAAAAGAATTAAAATTTATTCGTGAATTTGAATATGATTATAAATCGAATATGTCTATTAAATGGTATACGAAAGAGACATTCCTCTATAAAATAGTCAACAAAGCATTGAGAACTGAAGACATTGAACAATTACGTATATTTCGATTTTTTATTGCTGATTTATCATTTAATCTTGCATTTGAATATGAAAAATTGAAAAATAAAAGTGAAAAAATTCTTATACTTTATCGTGGACTAAAAATGGAAGAAGAAGAACTTAAAACTTTAAAACTAAATGAAGGTAGTTTAATATCAACAAATCGTTTTCTATCAACAAGTCGTTCAAAAAATGTTGCACATAAATTTGCTAAAAAAATCACCTAATCGTTCCGATATTGTTCCAGTTCTATATGAAATTGAATGTAATATACAAGAATTAGATACAATCATTTTGCTGATATTACAGAATTTATTGTTTATGCAAATGAATCAGAAGTTTTATTCGATCCTGGATCAACATTCGAAATAATTTCTGTTAAAGAAGATTTTCAATTAAATCTATCGTTAATTAAATTAAAAGCTAGTAATAAAGAAACAAAAATTGCTAAAGAATATATTGAACTTAATAGAAAAGAAGAAGAAGAAACAAGTATTGAACTTATATTTGGTAAATTACTAGCTGACATGGGACAATATGATCAAGCATTAAAATATTTTCAAAATTTGTTATTAGATGATCATACAGAAAAGGATGATATTGCAACAATTAATAATCTAATTGGAACGATTTATTATCATAAAGGTGATTTTAAACAGGCACTTCAATACTATGAACTGGCTTATAACCTAATGATGAATAATAAACCAATAAGAATGAAAGATTCAGTAAAACCATTGACAAATATAGGTCTTGTTTATCATCGAAAAGATCAATACGATCGTGCATATGAATTATATATGAAATCTTTAGCAATATATAATATATATTATGGAAGAGAACATATAAAATCAACCAAAATACTTATGAATATTGGTAATATATATACAGAAACTCGAAAATATAATCATGCATTGCAATATTATCAAAATGTTCTAAAAAGTTAACAACAATATTTACCATCTTATCATATTGATATTGCTATGATATTGAACAATATTGCAGTCGTTTATCACAAATTGAATAATCTTGATCATGCATTAGAGTATTATGAACAGTCATTGAATATGAAATAAAAAATACTTCCACCCAATCACAAAGATATTATTGTGACCAGAAATAATATTGCAAAGATAAATAAAAGAAAATATCATCTTCACTTTGCAGCCAATGCCCAACCTGTGTGAAAATCTCCAGTTCAACATAAGCTTCAATACGCACCATTGAACTGTGAAATTACTCGTTATAAGTTTCTTTACCCAGCCAACTTGAAAAAGAGGCCTGAGCTTGACTACATGATAATCTGCGGTATTCCGCCCGACCACTCAAGCCATGAGCTTGACTATGTAGTAGTCAAGAGTGATGGGAATAACAATAAAAATCTTGAATTCGACTACAAAACGGAAGAAAATAGTATAAGCGATGAAGATAGTCCTGAGCTTCACTATGCAACGTCATTAGGGCAACGGCACAAAAGTCCTGAATTTGAACCTTAATTAGATACATGTTTGATGCTTAGTCATGAGAGCGATGAATACTGATGAAATAAATGTCAACTTCAATATCCTATATGCAATTCGATGACGATAAGAATCTGTCGTATATCTTTTAAATCCATATGAGCAACCGTTTCTTTCTTCTTTTGTAACAATTGTGCATATTTGACGAAATAAACAAATAACTAAAAACAATCTTTTTATACACTAATTTCATTCAAGTGTCGGGCAAATTTTATTTTGAAGACGTATTAGTAAACGTTTCTTTCTGAAAACATAGACTAATGAGAAAAAAAAAGAAGAGCAATTTATGACCTTTCATCACTTAATGATCGAACAACAAGCATATTACAACCAGTGGCGGATTTAGGGGGGGGGGGGGGGGCGCTTGGGGCGATCGCCCCCATTCGAAAAAAAAATTTTCGATTTTTCCCAGCAGAAAAGACTTAAAAATAGAGTGCATACTACTACTAATGAACTTCAAAACTCGATTTTTGGTCAAAATCGCCCCATATCAAAAAAATCCTAGATCCGCCGCTGATTACAACGCGTATAATAATTAATCATTAAATGATGATTTTCAACTAAATCAGTCGAACAACATAGTCATGGTTTCTAAAAAGGAGGATTAATAATAAATGTCAGAAAACGATTGACTACTTTGTTAAATGAATAACGCCCTGTTGTGAACTATAGTGCTCGTTCTGTCATGGTATCGATATTTGAGTTGAGTAACACTGCAGTGGCTCATGCACGTATTTACGTAGTCCTGTATGGTATAGTGCTATTGAAGATTAAACATGAACTAGATTTAAAAGTGATTGACTAGTTCTTCTAAGATATTCAATGGTTAACTGAAAGACAGTATTTTACAGTTTGACTTAAGACTTTAAAAGCAAAGAAAGCACAATTCTCTATCTATTTGAATACTATCATTTGATGGAATACACTCAACCTCATTATTAACAGATAGAAGTCATAGTTAAATGATTTTATCAACGTTTGAACTCATATGACATAATATGCAAATAGGAGAGAAAGTTCGAATTCTGCTTATTATCATTTAGAAAATTTCGAACAAGGTTCATCATCATTTGATGTCGTTATCTATGTAAAGAAATTTGATCAACATCATTCAGGAGACAGTACGTTATCATATTGAATAAAATCTTTTTATTCATAGCCAATATTATCATTGAACTAAGTTTGTGAAAATTAAGCATACTGTTTCACATAAAAAACGCCGGTTTTGGTTCAGTTGTCTACTAAACAAAGATTGTGTCATGGTAAGAGAAACTACGTTGTGTGAACCGAAACGCAACATATTTGAAACGAACTAAATGACTTGGAGTTGGATGGTCTTATTTATTGTTGAACTATCCGATCTGATAAAAAAAATATACTTTATATTTTGAAATCATGTCCTATTTTTGCATGAAAAGAGGATGTAGGTATAGGTGTGGGTGTGAGAGCGTAGGTGTGGGGTATGGGTGAGTGTGGGTGTGGATGTGGATGTATTTTTGCTCCACAAATAACTGAAACACGCTTACCCATGCCCACACTCACGATAAAAGAGATATATATATGTTATTAACCGTACATGATTCCTCAATGATATCAACAGAAAAAAGAAACTCAAATTGTGCTAACGAAATTCTTAAACCATTATATATAAAAGAATACAATGAAAATAGGGGTTTCATAGACAAAGCTTCTATGCAGATGAAGTTTTCGGAATCTCTTTGAAAAGCCACAAAATGGTACAAGAAACTCTTTTTCCACATAATCGATCTGTCAGTTCTCAATAGTTATATTTTATTCAAAAATATGAAACATCAAAACTTCCAGCTTTCCAAATTTAAATTGGAAATTATTCGAGAGCTCAGTTCAAAGTACAACTCCAAGAGGTCGCATATTGGCAGACCATTGAGTGTTCATCCACTACGATTGACGACCAGACATTTTCCATCTTTAATTCCTCCAAATGAAAGCAACTAGACTCCCCGAAGAAGATGGTATGTTTGCAGCAATACTCAACGACGTGCGAAGGAACGAAGTGATACGCGCTACCAATGTACCGAATACGATGTTGGACTGTGCATCACCGACTATTTCAAAGATTTTCATACCTTACAAATGATTTAACGTTATCTTGTATAAATCTGTAAAACTGGATCGAAAATAAATAGCTATGATGATTTTCTGTAGAGCTTTTTTTCTCTCTTTTATGTCGACGGCCAATGGGTGAAGGAGGTCGTTCAAGACCACTATCCAGTCACAAAAATGAATTTTCCATCATTACTTTCACAGAACATTTTATGCGTTATCGAGAGAGAAAATCAGCAGTGCGTATCATAAATGTGATTGTGTCTATGAAACAAGGGGAGAAAAGCGGACCTTATACTTGAAGTTAATTTGGGCTACTTGAAAGTACTTTTCTGTAATTTTAGAGTACTCTGTCGTACTTTAAATGTACTTTTGGCGTAATATTGCCGTACTTTGGCATACTTTCAGTCGGCTTTTCCCCCCTTACTATGAAACTAATGTACATTATGACCAACTTTTCATATTAATAAGTATTTTCTTTCTTATAATCTAAATTAAATGTATAGTGTGGTAAAAAAAAATGTGTTTTCTAATTTTTTTAATTGTTTGATTGTTATCTGTTATTTATGATTAAAATATCATGCTATGTAATGAAGTCTGAACTTTTTTCGCTAGATACTCATTATTAAAAACAAGCAAACTATACTAATCTGGGTGTAGGTGTGGATGTGTATCACGAAAAATAAAGCTACAACTAGACCTCTACCCGGCCCAAGGCCGGCTAGAAAAGTCGGCTGACTGCAGAGCCCAAAAAATATCAAAACCTGGTCCTATACGACATCTACTATTTCTATACCCAAGAGTTGTGTAGAGGAAATCATAATGAATCTGAATCGTAGATTTCCATATAAGGAAGCTCTCAGCTGTTCATTATCGCTCATCGTCTCATCTGTCTAAACCATGAAGAGATTTTTTTAAATGCTTGAGACTTCTTCGTGGATGAATTTCAGCTATGCAAAACGATAATTAAAGTATATATGCACATAAGATCTAAAATATGAATGGTCTTTTAAGACTGAATCACGCATACCCATCTAAGGAAATTATCAGCTGTTAATTATTCATTTTCACCATTCGTATATCTTCCGAACGCTGCCGAATTTCGAAAAACGGATTTCAGATGTGCACTCGTCACGTTCTCAGGATCTCGCCAAACTTTTTTTCGACTGAAAATGATGCTCAGAAGCTGAGAACGAGTGGCTGACTTGAATCGTGACTCATGCGTCGAGAACAAGGAGAAGAAGAAGAAGCAGAAGAAGAATTTACCATGGCAACTAAGCGAGTGAAAAGCAATAAGTCGGCTTTGACTGCACTTCGTGCAGTCAGCCGACTTAACTAGTTTCAGTCTTTCTCAAGGGTCTCATTAGTAGCTTTCACTCTGCGTTGTCTTATTGAATTCAGCTTGAAAAAATTAAAAGAATGAATTTATTAAACATCTAATTAAAGAGCTGAAAATAAGCAGAGAGTTGAAGCGTATGTGTAGGGTGCCGATGTTGGGCTTTCTTTTAACATCCCACCCCTTGATTGTTCTGCTTTAAAAACTGCTTCAAGTAACTGTTTAAAACTAATTCGAGATGCAGCTTTGAATGAATAGCCATTCAATGCAATAAATTCAATTTAAGCATTAGCTATTTTTTGTTTAATTTTTTCCTGGTACAACTGGTGATTTATTATTACTAAAATATGTTGTAATAGTTGATTGCGTTCCATCTGATCATGCATCTCTCTCATACGGCAATACATGTTTTGTTTTAAACCATCAATACTAGTTGAACTTTTATAAGTAATAATTGTTCGACATTTGTCGCGTAATAGAGCAGTTTAAACAACACTTTTCATAAATACAAGGGTAGATCTTGGACAACAAGATAAACACTGATCTGTCTGTTAAGTCTTTTTTAATGTGTTTGTGGTATCGTTTTTCTTTAAAAGCTGTTCGAGTTTAGTATGTGTTAACAATTTAAAAACCATGATTTACGAAAGTGGAAGAATTCGATTGTGTACTAGAGCAGTATGTGATGATTTTTTATTGCGACTTAATCTAGCGATATGAATTATAGGCCACTATCATAGAATTTGATTGAATTTTCATAAACCAATATTTACTTAAGAAAAATCGTTAATTTCTATAATCATTAAAAGATGTTTTTACTTACGTTAGTCGAATCCTCTCAGTATCAGTGACTGTAACTGTCACAGAATTCCTAAATTTCTTACAGCTATGAATGTGAATGTGACTGTGACTAAAAAGTCATGGTCACACAAATCTCTGCCTAGATGTCTCTTATTATCCGACTGATTCCAAAAAATTTGATATCAGTGATTAGCGAATTCCGTTTGATGTATCTATTAAGACTATTAATAGGATAAAGAGAAAATACTTTTCGCGACTACCTGATCGATACCACAGAGAAGAAAAAATTGATTTATTATAACGTACAAAATACAGTTGTGTAAAAAGTTTACATTCGATTAGACTTTTGATATAGAAATCGTTTTTCGGTGTATGTTCAGTATTAGACGAATCTTGATGGATGCAACGTTGTAAGAGACATTTTTCTGTCGGCTGATTAGATGTCTTCTTTTCAACTGGTGTAAGTTGATTATATCAGAATTCGTGTCTCATGAACCTCTAAAGTATGATGGACCTCGACTCACTCTACAAAAGCACTTCAGAGATCTTTTCCCTATTTCTCGAAAGAAGTCGGAATTTTTTTTCTCGAAAAGCACATTTTTGCTTGTACTTTGTTAGAAAGTCGTTATTAAGGAAACGAGTTCTTTATCATAGACAGCTGTTTTGTCTGGCGGTACATGACAGAAAAAGTCTTCTGGAATATCATTTGAATGAGCAACATTCAACGATTATCTAGGTGTGAAAGTATTTCAACCGCATGTAAAACGACCATGAACCCAAGTCGAACAAGATTAGTGACTTTCTCTCCCTCTTATTTGCACCATTGACTCTAGTTTTGAGAAACTGATTATAAAACAATCTCATTAGACAAGAGCGAAATATAGAAAATATGTGATTGTGTGGAAGCAAAGTACATAGTAGGTATCTTGAATCGTTAGTCTGATGTTTCAAAACTATATGTGAACACATGACTAAACACGTGCCAGAAAACATACAAATGCACAAATAAACGGATTGTATTTTGTATGACTCTCCCTTCAGTCGAGGAAACAGGAGGATGAGTAGCAATAATGACATCAACTATTAATTCCTTTATTCGATCAGATGCTGTATCCATTGAGCCACAAATACATGACGTATCATTAGCGAAACGATCTGTTGGCAGATTCGCAGCACATCCTTTCAATGTTTGCCACGCTGAAGGACAATTGATTGATGACAAGAACGTCATGCATATGGAAGTATAACTAGCACATATATCAACTGAGCCTGATGCTGTATAAACTAATAAGTTTGGTATTCGTGATTTAATTTGTGAGTCAATAATAGTTTCAATTAATCTGTCTGACCCGACATCAAATCCTCCACATGCACAGATACCACTGAATGTTTGTAAGGTATTATCGATGCATGAACCACTTTGAATTTTCGACGCAGAGCAATTGATAGCATTCATGAGTATAGCACAGTTTTGAGCATATGCTCGACAGAAATCGAATCTTTCCACAAGTTGTTTGCGTTTGAGATTGTCTTATAGATGAGATAGTTGAAGATTCAATATCGACAAATCCAATCCAAATAGGGACCATCAATGAAATGCGCATAGTTGATGATTATGAATTTCGTGTATCACTGATCGTTGTACGTTAATTAACTGATCACGCAGTCGCTGCTATAAGACGTAAGAGAAATAATTCAAACAATATTCTGTATAGCAAAAATAAAATAGTTGTTACACTATTGGCATAGAACTCGATGAAGAATCTGTTGATGAAAATCTTTGCTCAAGAAAACGTAGAAAAAGAGGAAAACTGATAAATACGGACAACGTAGTTCTTTTAGACCCGTTCGTTCGATTGTTGAAATACGAGTACAAGTATCTTTTTGAAAGCAAAAGTACTTGTAATTGTTCACTCGGCGGTGAGATGATGAAGATGTCACACATATCAATCATCTATGAACTCATGGCTTTATTCACCAACAGTCTCCGACAAGAGAGAACAATGAATTTTCTCGTTAATACTTTAGAAGAAACAGCCTTACCGTAAAGCAAACAAATTATTTGTACCACATAAATAATCATAAATAAGTGCATGATTTAAATAAGAACGATAGTATAATTAAATGCCTCGAAAATGTTCTCTCTATATGTAATAAAAAGAATACTGTTTTATTTGTTCGTGCACACGAGAGATCCAAAACCTTAACTGCCGCAGTGACGAAAAACATGTAATTGTATGTTATGGCGAACAATTTAAATACATGAATTATTGTTTTTTTTCAAGCAAGACGCATAAAAAAAAATCAATTTAGTGTCGATAGATATTTGACGAAACTATAGCACAGCATTTTCGTTTATTCATTCCGCTCGACCACCTAGCGTCTTTGCTGTATGAGACGAGAGACAATATATAGGCTTCCAAGTGTTTTATTCATGCTCAGCTGGTAAAACTATCAAAATATCCGAAATAAACGTTTGTAGCAGATTTGATAACTCTATTTGGATTATTGATACTCTTTATAATTTCATGAAATCAGGATTTCAAACGATTTACAGGTAACACAAATTTTTTGACTATCGCAGTATGCTTTAGTGGTATCGGTTCTATGATTCGTTTTAAGTGGGCACTCTTTACCACTATTATATATTAAACTAAAATGTTGTCAATTTAATTATCAACATTTCGTATGAAAACCAGACGTATAATCAAGGAGGAAAAAGCGGACTTCAAGTGTGCGAAAGTACGCCAAAAGTATGTTTAAAGTACGACAGAGTACTTTAAAATTATAGAAAAGTACTTTAAGTACTTCGAGCTACTCTCAAGTAGTCAAAATTAACTGCAAGTATAAAGTCCGTTTTTTCTCCCTTGGGTTTAATCCATTGATACTCAAAGATGTTTCAAAGATAGAAACTCGTTATGGAAGAAAAGTTGAAAATTCTTGGAGTCGGTTTTTTCCATTCTCATAAGTCATTTGACTAACAAAATCTCAACAAAAACAAGCCACTTTCATTTTCGTCACGATTCTGATTCTCATATTGATAATTGGAGCTCTCCTGCTATTACTTTATTCATAGAGTAGTATAGATCTGACTGCAGTGTATTTATTTCGAAAACAAGTAAATTGTTCACTAGTGATGGCATCATCTCGAAAGATATCTATTCGAGGAATAGATGACCAAGTATAACTCGAAACGAGAAGGCTATTGACGTCCAAATGATGGGATTATTTTTACTATCCATGATAAAAAGCATTGTTTATTTGTTCAAAATGATATACTACGCAGAATTGAAAAGAAAATTAAAACATTCGTTGGACATGAACATGATCGTGCATAATAGATGGTGTTGCGGAGAAATTGAAAATAGCTAACCGCACAAAATTGCAATTGGACTGCAGTAGCATTGAATTGCGATAAAATGTTTGTCAAGTGATTTTTCGTATGTCGTTCGGAAATGAAGTTTGAATAGTAACTATTTCCAGTCTGACCATTAAATAAAGTATATGCGATAAGATTGACAATTACTCACGTTCATAATAAAAGATAGATACTAACGAAGAGGGTGTGGGTGTAGTTGTGGGTGTGAGTGTGGGTGTTGGGTGTAGGTGTGGGTGTGGGTGTAGCTGTGGGTGTGGCAGTAAGTGTTGGTGTGGCTGTGGGTGTGGGTGTGTATTTTCGTTTCACCCACACAGCCACAGCCACACTCAGACCCATACACTCACACTCACACACACACCCAGACCCATGCACCCACACTCACACGCACACTCACATCCACACACCCACACCCATACTCACATACCACCACACCCACACTCACAAGCCCACACTTAAACCCCACCCACACCGCATACCCACACCCACACCCACACCCAGACCCATACACCCACACTCACATCCACACTCAAATAGACAAGATATTTATTCGATTCAGAATCAAATTCAAGTTGCTCAACGAGAAAAACAACGCCTGGTTTGATCAATTTTTCTTCTTCATCATGATAATCAGACAATGTCGACACATCGATCGATTGTTTGAATGTAAATTCGATAATAAATAACACATTTCCAAACTGTTCTGCTTTTGCTCGATTTCGTGAACATGATGTAAAAGCTGGAAATAACGGACATAGGTCATCATCACTCCAGTTAGTTCTAGCCTCACCAAGGATTTTATGATAGCTTTCAATCATTTCATCGGTGAGGTTCGCTCCTCGATAAACGATTGTCGGATCACCAGGTTCTGACTCCATAATATATGTTTCCAAGAGAAGTGCAAAGGGTCCAAATGTTTGTACTTTGCTTAGCCATAAATGGCTATGCTCTTCATCTTCTACCAATCACATAGCTTCATTGAGTTTTTGATAAAGAAAACTTTCCATTGTATAAAGACGTGCACAGCATTTTTCGATCACTACTTTCGAGTTTCTGCTCATTTTTCTCAATTGTTCCGCCATCCATTCCGCTTCACATTTTTTGTCAACTAATTTTCCTTCGATGATAAGACCAAGAGCAACATATTCGACAATTGTTGGAAGTTCATCTTCAAGATTTTCACATTGAAACTGGAATTTCTCTCTTGTTGCTCGAACGAATTCCAAAGTTGATGTTAATACATGATTTTTACGAAATGAAGCATTGAGTTTGATTGAATTCGGCATAAATGGAGCTTCTCTCAATCGTTGCTCTGCTCGTTCGCCCATCACAATTCGTTGGACAGGTCGTTGATTATTGGTATTGTTATTGTTAATCTGTACATTGTTGGAAAAGTTAATATGATAGTCATCGAGTATAGCGATATCTTTTTTCGGCCATAAAAACCTCTTCTATAATCATATTTTCAATATCAGAATAGTTTTTCCATTCGTCGGGTTCAGTTGATGACCGAGGATCAATATTTGCCTTCCACATCCATGCGATGCCCGATAAACGTGCGATTGACAATTCATTGTTAGCTTGTGCTGATTTACTAGGCTTGGGCATTATCATGCTGATAACTGATTCGGTAGCAGAAGATGTCGATGATTGATGTGATTGTATTGCTGACGGTCTGTTACTCATCAATATATCGACAAGTTCTTGTCGTCTCTTCATAGCTGATTTACTAGGAGCTTTCTCCATTGTGCATGGACTTCACAAATATATTAAATAAATATATAGTTTCAACTTATAGATAATCACTTCTTGGATGATTGTAAATATAATTTGAAGTAAAGCGACCGTTACTTGTACATAAACGATGAATGAATTAATAGATAAACGACTGACATTGGCATGGTTTTTCTTCCTTCTCTTTCATGTCAAGTCGATTTAATTGCAAACAAAGCAAAGTAAAGCAGTCAATGGCAAATATGAGCAATGAAAAAAGAACCAGTATTTTTTTATTCTCGGTTCCTGTTGCAGTCAGCTCCTTCTGAATACTTCGTTTCTTTTTCTTGCCTCTTTTTTTTTCTTTTCTGCTCTCTCCATTCCTGTTCTTTTTCTATATCTCTCTTTTTTTTTAAATTCTTTTCTCAAATTCTCTCTTTCTATTTGTTTTTCTCCCTATCCCCTGTTGTCCTTCTTCTTGTTTTGCTCTCTTCACTCCGAAACTCAGCTGTCCCTTTAGGAACGACATGGTCATAAAGCTAAATAATGCTAATAATAATAAGAACCAGTATATTTTTCCTTTGACAAATCGTACTAGGTTTTTTGGTACGACTTCTTTTTGAGTTCCATTAATCAACTAGTATTGGTAAATTCAAGTCCATATCGACTCATTCATAATATTCAGTATCGAATGAAAGTTTTCTATTTCTGCTATGAAAAAAAACACTGAACGAATAGATGAAATATGAAGAGGGGAAAAAATCGTATTTCATACTTTCGATACTTCTGAATAGTTACCTACTGCTAGATGCTTCCATTTTATATTCTGTATAATCTTTTGATCGATTGCTTTACAACTCGATAGTACACAGATGATATCATGTTTCAGCATTTGTCGTTAAATAGGTGTGGACAAGCTTTTGAATCATATTTAATTAAGGGAAAAATGAATTTATTTTATTTAACTAATCAAATTTGAAAAAAATGTTCATAAAATCATTAAGAAGTTAACGTTAACGATTTAATTATTCTGCAATACTTAATTCAAAATGATTAAGTTTATTGTTTATTAAATGAATTAAATATTTTTTGAACAATGTTTTATTAAGAAAAACGACTAATTGAAATGCATTGAATAGTGATGTTCATTAACTCTGATGAATGATTAGATGACCGTCACACTTGAAAGTGTGATGAAATCGATTTCAAAATTTCGAAAAAAAAACTAAGACTTTGCGGAAATGAAACATTGAGAGCCAAAATTCAATGGGATGTGTGTGAGAGTGTGGGTGTGAATGAAAGAAAGATTTGAACCTAAATCCACCCTGACACCCACCCATCCGAACATCAATATGTTTTATCCGTGCAATAGCAGAGAGACAGCTTCCTCGAGTGTAATTAGTCAATATTGTGGTGTACAGCTGATGCTCATTTTTGCAGGTTTTCGTTACCCGATTACTGATAGCGTAATTGGCTAGTAACAGTAATTTTCCTCCCTATTGATGACTTTACACAGTTCCTGGAAAATATACAGTTCACACAATTGAGAGTTGCCAGAAGTCTAGTAGAAATATTTACTGGTAATTTCTGATAAATGAACTAAAAAGCAAAGTCAATAGAGATAGAAAAAAAGCTGAATGTGTTTTAGATTTGTTAGCTTAAAGAACTGTGTTCATTTTTTCTTTTCTTCATTACAAATACTTGAAACATTCTGATCTTCTGCTTCATATTTATTTTACAAACATTATTTTTCAAATAAATATTTAACTAAATATTTCATCGCTTGAAAACAAAATATTTGTCAAAATAATGTTAGTACAAATTGTCATTTTATTGAAGATAATTGTTATGCATAATAAACCTTTTACCTTGAATCGTTTTTTTTTTGCATAATTGTAGTCAATACATTCTTAATATTGTAATCCAAGCCGACTGTGAAGTATTATTCATTGCTATGTTTGCATGGTCTTATCAAATGTATTTTGTATCAAGGAGGTAAATAGTACTCGATCATAGAACATTGATGAATCATAAAAGTTACGAATAATGATATTTCAACAAAAAGTTTTGACGTTTATATTTCTATGGTAACATTGTATGAAATCTTACAGAGAGAAAAAAGATGAAAGTAATGTAATTTTACCTGGCACTTCAAGAATATTCATATCACTATTTCTGATATATTCTATAACCAACTAACATATATGATCTTGAAAGTTTCAAAATTTTAATATCGTTTTGAAAACCATAAAACTCTTTTCTTGACTACTTTTACATTTTTCGTTTCATTGAAACTACTTCTATGGCCAAACTTAAATCGAAAATATTTCATAATCTTTTTTAAAGTTAATGTAGTACTTTTGCGTTTTTCAATCTATCATAACAATCAATACATAAGACTAAATTGGAATACTTTGAGTTTGATACAAATTTTGTAGACTTCAACAATAACATAGTATTCTTCCATTTTCGTAGGCTTCACTATATATCTCTCGCAAAGCTTATGTATCGCTATATATAAAACATGAAAACAAAAAAGTGTTTATCGATACCTTCAAGAAAAAATAAAACTGTAGTCCATTAGTAAGTAACCGAGATAACAGCAAAATTGTGTTTGTATCCTTGCAACTATTATTACTTGACTGATGAAAACTAGCCTGAATGAAAGTGTTCTTATCTTAACAGTTACACCTATTCAATGTTGGTATTTGCTTTGGATTCATTTATCTATATATAGAGAAGCATATGCTTTGTTAGTATTCTAAGTAAAAAAAAATGTTAAAAGTCACAATATTTATCCAATAAAGTCTACAATTCTTTTCTAAAGAAAAAAAGAAAACGAGCAATGGCTTTCGGAGAACATAGCAACAAGCGTATTCAGATGGGATTGATTATAATTGGTTTGTTTGTAATAATTAGTCTTGCTCTTGCAGCTGTGACTCTTGGTACTCTAAACAAAAGATTCAATTATCTAAATCAACAGGTAGATGGACTTCAAGAACTAGCATCTAGAATTGCGAACCGATTACCCACGGCATTCACAATAGCAACAACTTTGCTTTCGACTACGACAATGACTACGGATACCCTTACAACATCAATGACGACTGCAATCATGACTAACACTACGGCTTCAGATACAACAATGGCTTCGTCTGGAACTTAAACAAAAAGATAGTCTAGCTTAATACCGTGATAGTCGCTTCATTATGTGTGGTTGTTCATTGATCTTCAGATATTCTTTGTATTTGTCACTTCCTCATCTCTTCTTTGCATGGTTCTTCTTTTCTATTCACACTCTTAAATAAAAAAACCACGCAATCAAATTATTGCATTATCATCAACAACGGTCATTAGTTTATCGTTGCTTAATTCAATACTTTCCATAGTCAATTGAAATAAAAAAAACTAAATAGAACGATTTTACATTGCGCGCATGCGTATAAAACATAAAAACAATACACACAATTTATTTATTAAAACAGGCAAATGAAAATAATGAATCAACGACCGTGTATGGTAAAATATTTTAAAATAAACATATTCAACATGATATCAAGTTAATGCACTCCACAACGTTGTTTCTTTTTCAATTAAAAATCTCTGTCAATTTATATTTGATGAAGAAAATATTTACGTAAAAAAAGCGCAGTATGTTGAAAAATGTCAATGCAGTCACTTATCTTTGGTCTAAAATATATCAGATAAGGAGGAATTTATTGAGTAGTCTCATTGTTGATAATGAATTTATATTTTTCAGCTCACCACACAATTTCTTACTTGACTTAAATTGATGGCATGTCTAGGAAAAAAACCTTGAAGTATCATATTATTCACTGATAAAAATTAATCTATTGCTGATAGTTGACGATTGTTGTTTGCTCTTCAAAATCTAATAAAAAAGTGCATGGAATGAAGATTCGAATATGTTTTGTGTTTCTTGTGTATAAGTAGTATCTGTAGGAGAACTACTTTTACTCGTCTCGTAAGTTACATATTTGGTTTCAGCTTGATAGGGACGACACTAAGGATATCGAAGCAAAAAATCAAAATAGTGAATTCTCAAAAAAAGTTTTTCTGTGAAAAAGTTTGGTTCCATATGTACATTTGTACGAGAGTTACTGAAGAAATTTTATGATGAAAACCGTGCTATATTAGGTTCTCACTGAATACTTCTAACTTAGTGAATAAACTAAGGTAACGAATAACAATAATAGGAATACTGATAAATATTAGTATCTAAAACGAAATAGTTTGAAGATAGATGGTGCTTCTGAAAATCTAAGTCAATCATTCTTGCAACACAGTATATAACACGATCGTTACAAACAAGAAAAACCAGTTGAGAACTGAATTTTGCTTTTGTATCTCAACAAAAGATTATTTCGTTTTGATATCGATTTTATCATACTATAAAAAGTAGTCAAATTTACAGTTAAAGAATTGACTTCAGAAAAGATATAAAGCAGCATATGAGTCACTTCAGATATATATAGAAGCGAGCTTGCATCATTTGTTTATAGAAAGTAAACAGTTCTAAATAAATAGACTGGTAGAGAAACGAAAAACTCTTTTAGCTTCATTCAATAATCTGTACCACATTGTATTGTTTAATAAACGAACAAAATATTAGGTAAAATAATTATAATATTGAAATAAATAACAGTGGTGATAGAACAACTTTATTAATTAATTTGACGTTTCGACATACTACGAAGTCATTATCAATAACGAGTAACCAACGGATTACACCGAACAATATATAAATTGATACATTTGAATGCCATTTTTTAAAAACCACCAGAGAAAATTCTAATAAACGAACCAAATATTAGGCAAAATAATCATAATATTGATAATGACTTCGTAGTATGTCGAAACGTCTAATTAATTAATAAAGTTGTTCTATCACCACTGTTATTTATTTCAATATTAGGGTGTGGGTGTGCATTTTCGTTTCACCCACACCCATACATCCACACCCGCACCCATGCATCCACACCCACACCCACACCCTGTACTGAGTAAACTCA